CTATCTCCAGCTTTAGTCGTTGCTCTATTTCTTTCGCAGCCAGGTCCTGTTTCACTTTGGCAATTGCTTCCGTCGCCGCTTTCTCATAATTTATCTCTAGAGAGTTCCCTGCCGCGGATTCTATGGCATCATTAACATGTGATACAGCTTTCACTGTCTTCGTCGGCAATTCCGTGCTTGGTGCTCCTAAGTTCCTCGATTCAAATTCGTTTTGCCTGTTCCGCTGATTCTGCACCGCCGCTAATGCCAACTTATGTTTAGGGTGACTCTGGTCCTTGACCGCTTCCCAGAACAAGGGACAATCCATTCGGAAGTGCCCCTCCTGGTTACAGAAGAAGCATCTTGTGCCTATCTTGATGATTAAGCCACTATAGTACTCGTGTTCCTCCATCTGGCTCATGTCCTCCTCATCTGGTGCATATCCTAGACTCTTCATGCCTTGTTTGTATGTTGTGCAGTCAGCCACGTGGTGATCCGCCGACCCGCAGTTCGCGCATGATCTGCGCTTGTCCATGTCATCTCTAGGTTTGTACCATGACGACCTCTGCGGTTGACTTCCCCCTTGCGTGTTCCTGTTTTCTGAATACGAGTATTTCTTGGGTTTCATCAGCATGTATTCCCTTGATTTCTGTCTCATTTCTTCTGGGGTTGGTGCGCTGTCTTTCGACAATGTGTAGTATGTTGCTAACATTGTCCTTAAGTCGTCACTTTTCACCCCATCAATGAACTTCGAGGCAATGCTAAAGTTTCTTCTGTTTGTCGACTCCTCTGGGTCACTCCTTCTTCTCAAGCTCTCGAGATCATCTAGGAACCGATCTATTGACTCGTCGTCCCTCTGCCTTCTCTTTTCAAATCGCATCATCGCTTGGTGACCCTTCATGCCTGACCCGAATCGATTCAGCAATATCTCGAAGATCTTGTCCGCGGTATCGCGTTCTTCTTCTTTCTTCGCAACCACGCATTTTAATGCTGTGCCTTCTAAATTGCTGAGTATGGCTGTGCATGCTTGTCTTTCATCGTTCAAGTTGTCTTGCTCTAGATGTAATCTCATCACTTCCACCCACGTGTCAATGCATCCATCTGAGTCGTCTTTGAATTCTTTTGGCTTCTTGAATGTTTTTCTTGATTTCCCATCTCTCCTATCGCTCGAGTTAGTGTTCCTCGTGGCGAAGGCCTCTAGAGTCCTGTTCATCATCTCCCAAGTGTTTGCCCATGTCATAGCATCCGGACCTGCGTTGCTGTTAGCTGTTGAGTCCCCCGGACCAGTCGTTGTACTTGACATTCCATTCTTCATTATTGTTTTAGCAGCTGTTGGTGCTATGCTCACCGTATCCCGGGTTAAGGGCAACGGTGTCGATTGCCGTTTGTTCCTTTGTGGTTCCACAAAGTCAACTCTGGTGCCTTGCGCGCGATCCGCTGCCGGTCTTTCTTGTGAGGTAGAATTACTCAAGATTGCATCCAATTTCGCCTGTATTGCACACGAACTCTCGGCCTGATTTTTGCTCATTGTGTCCATTCTCTTTTCCAGGCTACCTAATTGGCTGTTGACATCATCATATCGGTTTTTTAACTGTTGCAAATCTTTTTTGATGTTCTTATCTCGTTCTTCATTGGTGGTTTCTATATTATCTGACATTTCCTTGAGTCTCTCTTCTGTTGCCTTGGCCAGGTTAAAATAACTATCCAGATACTCGTTTTTGTTGTATCTTAATTCTTTTCTTATCACTTCTCTGTCCTCTTCGCTGTGCTTCAGCTTTTTGTCGATCTGATTCAGTTTCGCCATCAAGTCACCTAGCTCAAGAGTAGCCTCTTCATGGTCAGCCGTCGGTCTTTCTTCGGCCGTCGCTTCTGCTCTAGTTTGTTCCTCTCTCGGATTGGCTTCTGTCGTCTTCGTGCTTACTGTTCCAAATGTTTGTGCTCTTTCAGCTTTTGGTTCTTCAGTCACGTTCTCTTTCGTTTTTATTCCGACCATCATCGCCAACCTTTCTGTAAAAGATGTCTTTTTTACTTGAGAGTCTTCTTTCACCGTTTCTTCGGTGTTGCCTATTGCATCTTCCACGTTGTCTATTGGTGAGAATTCTATGGGTTTCGAGTTTGGTTCTTCTGCATTGGGCATTGGAGTTGACTCCGTCGCTATTTTCCTTGTTTCATCAACACTTTGATCAGGTGTCTCTAGATCAATCTCGATGGTGGGTTCTACTCGTTCCCCTTCCATGCCCTCTCTTGCTCTCTCCGCTGTACTCCTTGTGCTGACCATGTTAACTGAAAAGTTCTTCTTTGTTATCTTTGGGCCCATTGATGTTGTTTTGCGTAGCGACGAATTATACTTTGCTTCGGTAGGTCTTTTTTCAGCTACCGGTACCCTGCTCTGCCTCATTATTTCTATTTACAATTGCTTTTATTTACAGTTTTACTATATACACAATCCTATTCTAAGAATAAAATCTTTCGGGAAGGAAGAGAAAAAAAAAATATATACAACGTGGTGAAAACCTTGTTTCAGTTCTCTTTATTAACTTTTCGAGAAACTTTCCTTATTTGTGGTCTCAACCGTACCTGGTTCCAATTAGTCTTGTTCTACCTTAATTCTGTCTTAAAACACTTCTTGTAATTTTACTTCAATTTTTTACACTGTCCCAAGACTTCCAATTGCCGTCCCTACTCTTCTTTGTACCGTCCCAGGCTTCTTTCTCCTGTCCCAAGACTGTTCGGTACCGTCCCAGTACTTTCCGGCCGTGTCCCAAGACTCTTGTCTAAGACTACTGTCCCAAGGCTAGTGTCCCAAGACTACTGTCCCAAGACTATTGTCCCAAGATTAGTGTCCCAAGACTAGTGTCCCAAGACTAGTGTCCCAAGACTACTGTCCCAAGACCCTGTTCCTAGACCCTTGTCCCAAGACCCTGTCCCAAGACCTTGTCCCAAGACCCCGTCCCAAGACCTTGTCCCAAGACCTTGTCCCAAGACCTTGTCCCAAGTCCCTGTCCCAAGACCTTGTCCCAAGACCCTGTCCCAAGACCCTGTCCCAAGACCCTTGTCCCAAGACCTTGGCCCAAGACCCTGTCCCAAGACCCTGTCCCAAGACCTTGTCCCAAGACCTTGTCCCAAGACCCTGTCCCAAGACCCTGTCCCAAGACCTTGTCCCAAGACCCTGTCCCAAGACCTTGTCCCAAGACCCTGTCCCAAGACCCTGTCCCAAGACCCTTGTCCCAAGACCTTGTCCCAAGACCTTGTCCCAAGACCCTGTCCCAAGACCCTGTCCCAAGGCCACTGTCCCAAGACTGTACTGTCCCAAGACTGCTCTGTCCTAAGACTTCTTCGGCACTGTCCCAAGACTGTTGACAAGTGTCTGGGTGGTGGGACTTTTTCCCTCTTCGTTATGGGGACTTCTTGATTCGCCGTACCTTGTACCACCACTCAAGCTCTAGTAAAATTTTCCCAAAATCCTCTCTTAAAAGCCAAATGCTGACCCCCCTTTTTCTTATTTCTCTTTTTGGCTACCTCTATTTCAATGTTCCAAGTAACTTGAGGCCAAAACCTGTGCGCAGGTATCTTGTGATCACCTGTTCGTACAAAATTTTAACACAAATCCTCACCAAAATGCAACAAAAATCTAAGCAAGAAAAAGTAATAAAAACAGAAAGATGAGCCCACCTAAAATTCAAAGGTGACAAATGTCTACCTTCTATCCGAAAAATGTCTTGCACCTAATTGCCACGCGTTTCCTTCCCCCCTGCTAGCGATCTTATGGGGTATTACAAAAACTGTCTATGTCCCTTCCCCCCTACCAATCCGACCAGGGTACCTTCCTTAACTCGAGTTCAAATTTCGATATCCACCTAATATTACCAACGCGTGTTAATTTCTAATGTAACTAAGTCAACGATGTCGACTAATTAGTTACTCTAATTTCCCCCTTTTTACAATTTACAACCGCCAACCTCTAACTTAACCAGCCCCCCTTCTAACCTCCCCCCTTTTTAGCCCCCCTTCTTAAGCCTAAAATTACCTTAAGCGCCGGGTGCTAAACCTCTCAAGAGAAAACCGTAGACCTGTCTCCAGGCCTGCTCAAGTAAAAACGTTCCTCAAAACCGGGGGATGTCGCCTATCCTATTTTACACTTATCTCCTATAATGTAATGTGGATTTTAACGATACCCGTTCTGCCCAACTTGAGAACTCGAGAATTGCCAAATCCTTCTTGGCTGCTTTCCCACTCGACTGGTCACCTGTTCCAGTCCAGTCTCCTATTGGTTCAGCTCAAGTGTCCCTGAACCACTTTCCCACTCGGCTGGTCACCTCTTCCAGTCAAGTCTCCTATTGGTTCAGCTCAAGTGTCCCTGAACCACTTTCCCACTCGGCTGGTCACCTCTTCCAGTCAAGTCTCCTATTGGTCCAGCTAAGTTCCAAGCTATCTGAAAACCCTTGACAACGCCCCACTTCGGGCACTTTATTCAGTTTACTGGTTTAAATTGCTAGGTTGATCGAAACGATCGAACTTGTAAAACAGTATGGGTATACTATTTAATTAATATAAAGGTTTGATCCAACTAATCTGGTGTCAAAGTCACTGTCTTTTTTTCGTTTTATGGTTTTTGTTCCTTTTTCTATTCTTTTTTGGTTTTTGTTTTGCTTTTTGTCTTTTTTGCTCGTGTTTTTGTCCCCCTAGTTGCCCCCCTTTACTCGGTTAGCTAAGCCTCGTTCGGAGAGCGTACCAGGAAATTTTCTCGAGTTTTCTTAAAAAGCTATCACGGTACAACCGACTTAGGTTGGTAAAAAGAAGGTTCGTACTAAAACACTCGCTTCGCAAGTGTGAACAAATGTATAACTGAATCTGAATTGGATCATCTTAATTGATTGTGCAGGCTCAGTTGAAAAGAAGAACCAGAGCATCTAATATAAAACAGGGGCATCTAAAATTTTAATTGAAAAAATATATATAGAAAAAGTTGCTGCATCCGAGGAAAATACTGCAAATATTAAACAATTACCCTATTCGTAGCTGGATTGCGCGCAAAATACTCAATATCGAATGTCATCGTGAAGTGAGCCTTGATACAGACTCTGTTTGTATTTCGGAGAGACACACTGTAGTTTCCAGGCGCTTCCGACTTTCCTGGATTCTTTTCCCATGGAAATCCGGGAAAAGGGTTCTTTTCTTTTAGCTTCCCCTAGAAAGTGATTCGTAAAAAAATTGTTGTATATAATCAATTGTACAACTCAAATATGAAGTACGAACTACTCTTCGAGAAAACAAGTTTCGTTCGACAATAGTCGCCCGTATTCGCATTGGCAGTGAGATTAACTTAAACGCTGACCTTGTGGTACAACCTCGTGATATAATTTAAACTACAGCGCGCACTCACTCTATTTCATTCTCAATAAATAAACACCAACTCACACATGCAGAACGACATCCATTTTACCATTACCTTCTCACAAAGCGAAACCAACCACACTCCTAAACACTTCGTTCGATCGGTTCAACAAAAATATTTTATTCTGAAATCGATTGAAAATGTCAACAGCAGCAAGCCTCAATCTGTTTTTTACCCTAGGGTTGAATGTCTGGCAAAACCAATCGTAAACTTTACAAAATAGGTTTTGTAAATGCGCTCCGCTTTCTGGAGTATCTTTTTATGCATAAAGAGGCACAATTGGATGAACTCACCTTGTATAATTGTCAACGCAAAAAGCATGTTCATAGCAGAGCGATCTGTAAAAAAAGACGGTTGCTTAAAAACGGCTGACAGCTGATCAAATAGATAAATCAGACGGTCAGAAATGATCATTAAAACCAAAGTGTAACATTCGTCTACTGCAGTCACACATGAGGTTTAAGAAAAATAGGCCCTATAACCACTGGCTCAAGGGTCAGGGACACCATCTCTTGTGTTTTTCTACCTCAAGAACGGTCGGAGCCAGTTCGGTTCGTTTGTGACATGAGACTACGACCCGTTACAGCTTAAAGGCTACTACTAAAATATCCCCCACTCTAGAATTAGATACGTCCCCATACTTAGGTCTCTAGATACCCAAAATACATGAACGCCGTTAAAAACCGGGTTGGAACAATCCGTTAAGTTACTTTTTATTAGACAGTGGAACCTTGATCCATTTCAGATGGATCAACCTAAAACTCGCCTTACCTCAACATGACCATTATAAAACACACTCTAGGAATTTAAATTAAGTACTCACATTGTAGCACGCTCAAGAACCAGGAAGTAAATAAGTCGGTAAGCAACTCAAGAATTAATAAAGTAAGTAAAATGAGTTTAACGTTAGTCAGTTTTAATAATAAGAACAAGTTTTTACTCTAGACTGTAAGTTCTCGTGAACCATTGGGACACTCTAGCTGTCCACCTTTCCACCGAAGGTTCACTCTGGTCCAGTTAATAATAGTACTCCAGTCACAACAATCCAGTTCGTGGGAATGCTCTCGTCTCTGTTTTAGATGGGACAGCTCTACTCTTGTTCTATTATGACAGAAATTGCGAATAGCAATTTCCCACCGTTTTATTTAGCAACTTTCCCGCGATTGTTACTCGATTGTTCTGACTTCTCTTTTTTCTGATTTTCAGTTATCGCGAGAAAATCGTGCATGACATGCTCCATTCGAAATTTTGAAAAATTAAATTTCTCTCCTAAATCAAGTGTTTTTTTTTGTCTCTCTCAAGGTCAAACCTCCAAATATGACCGACTGGCACAAAGTTACTATACAACACCTTTATCAGTTCGCCAGCCAAAGCACCTTGGAATTTCATGAACAGGGAGGGATTGTGACATTTGACCAGAATGGCGGCCGAAATGCATGTCAACAACGAAACTTAATTAGCAGCAGCCGAGTGAGAAAATTATCAGTTTCGACGAATTAACAGTGTCCATCGTTCAATTTAACGAATTGGGAGAGGTCGATTAATGGTGACGAAGTAATTTTTAATAATTCGTTTGAAAATATTGACACGTCACGACCTTGAAATTTCGCAGTGACTTCAAAAACGCGAAAACCATAACAACGAGTTTCGCTGGTCGGAATAAGAAGAGCAATTCTCGCTAATAGAAACAACAACGATTCTCGACAGTAAGAAAAAAATAACAACTATTGTGACATTCGACCAGAATGTACGAAAATGCAGATTTGTATTCATACTTGCTGACCTGGAAGATTGACGGTTTTAACAGATTAGCATTGTTATTTAATGCAGTGTGATAATCCAAGATGGGACAAACTCCATCTTAAAAAAAATTTACTCAACGATTGATGAATTTAGCGCTAAATATGAAGAACTTATCGCTTTAATAACTGCAAAACTTTTACCAGATTCGATTGTTATTAGCGAAATACCACCAATACTTAATAATGATGATGCTAATGACAAGATTGATCATTATAATCGTTTTCTGAACGAAATGTATGGTTCGATAACGGGATTTGAGGTGCTAAATCTAAACTCAAACATCAAAGCTTGGAGAGCTATCAGAGTTTTTATTTTGACACTATACACCTGAACGATGAATTAGGTATAGCATTCTTGCGCAATTGCCTCGGCTCATACGTGTTCAAACACTCAAGTAAACTCCCGAGGGTAAAACCAGCCCCTGATTATGCTGGAAAAGCAAATTCCAACCAAAAATCGCTTTCAATTATCAACAAAAAAATGTTTATAGGTCTACCAATAGACCCTATAATAATGATCGCATGCACCCATATGGCCAACAAATTGGTCATGGCCGACAAACTGGTCAAAATAATTTCAACAACAACTCATGGGGCTGTGATAGTAATTATAACCATAACCTGAATAGTAACCAGCAGTCATATAACTACTCGCAAGGTTTTCATTATTAAGTTATGCTAGTTAAGACTATCTCTTTGATAAACGATTGTTATGTGTAAGTTTAACTATAATTGTTCTAAAAAGCGATATGCTGTTACTTTTTGCCTTAAGTAGCATATCTGTCATAAGCTTCTGCGAAAGCGATCAATTTGTAGCTTATGAGCTACTGAATAAAAGAAAAGGAAAGTATCTTTTTCCATTGGTTGCCACAATATACTCGAACAAACATTATTGCACTATACTTAATAATATAAGCTATTTCTGTTACAATTATTTTATAAAAAACACAAGCGAGACTTATAAAAAACAAGAAAGGTCCCCTCATAAAACCTCCTAACATCAGGGGATATCCACCCAAATCCAGGAGCCTTCATGGAATTCAGTCAAATAAAGAAAAAACTGGGAAACTACAACAATAACTTAAAAGTACTACATCTTAATTGTAGAAGTTTAGCTAGAAAGCGTTCAACAACTAATCAAAACTTTTAATGATAATACAATTTTCGGATTTTCCGAGACATGGTTCAATGATACAAATGACGATAAACTATCGGCCATAGACAATGACAAACATAAATTGTTCTGATGTGATAGAACTTATGAATCAAGTAAAACATTGAAGGGTGGAGGGGTCATGTTGCTGGTTCCGAAAAAGTTAAACCCAAAAGTAAGACATGACTCAAACAACATGCACAAAAAATATGATAGCATCTGGATAGAATTTAAAGCCGGACTCAACAAAAATGATAGAACCACTCTATTAAACTTAGCCTACAATCCTAATAGAAATAACAAAACAGACTTCTTAGAAGATCTAGCCAAATCAATTGACCATGCACAGTCATTTAATTCAAACCTAATTTTACTAGGAGATTACAATCTCAACTATCTCACCGAAGACGACAAACAATCTTTAGATACAATCCTAATACCATATAATCTGTACGTCACTAACAAATTAACACCTACTCACTCAAAAGCACTAATTGACTATATTATCACCAACCTAGACATAAAAGATCTAACAAATAATTCAATAGTATTCACACCACCAATTAAGACCGACCACCAAGCAACAGCATTCATTACAGAACTTAAGCTGAACAACAATGTAAGATCAATCAAACGTAAAATATATGACAAATCCAATTACTCCAATTACAAGTTCAAACAAAAACTATCAGCTATAAATTGGAGAAGTTTCTATAGCAATAATAATCCCGAAATAATGCTCGACATCTTCACATCTAACATTGCTGACACCATTAAAGAATGTGCCCCACAGAAGACTATTTTCATTCGCAACGACAAACCAAAGGTAAACTACGAACATGATAAATTTATATCCCAACTGTTTAACTCGAAAAAAAGCGAACGCGAAAAATGGAGTATAATAAACGATACAAGAAACTCAAAAAAAATCTTCCAACTTCATTCCATTACTTAGAAACTCGTTCGGCAATTTCATAACCAATAATTTATAGATGGCGAACTTGCTAAATTACAAGTTCTCAACTCTTGGATGCTTTTATGAAAAAAATTCAAAAATCAGGGCAAGTTCACCAACTTCTACATGCAAAATTCGAAATAATAATAAATTTTCATTCCGATTCATCACATCAGCTGAATGTAAAAAGAAATACTTAATTTAAATTGTCAAAAGGCACCAGGTCCATCCAAAACTCCAGCCTGGGCATTGAAGGATGGCTGCAATGAAATATACACACATCTGACATTTCTATACAATGAGTTTTTGAAAAACAAGACATATCCTTGCAAGCTCAAAAAAGCAATTATCACACCAATATACAAAAAAGAAGATCCAGAATTACCACAAAATTATAGGCCTATCTCTATAACTGGGTCTCTCTCAAAAATTTTTGAAAAATTGTTATATAAATAAATCAACGAATATCTGATATCCCAAAAATTACTAAGTAATACCCAATTTGGGTTCAGAACATCATATTCAACAATCGACGCTATTCTTTATTGCACTGAAGCATTCAGAAAAGCAATAGACAACAACATAACTGTAGCATGTTCCTTGCTGGATCTCTCTAAAGCATTTGATTCTGTTGATCATACTTATCTTAAACAGAAATTAAAAGTGTTAAACTTTTCCGAAGAAGCTATAGAAATGATCAATTCCTTTATCACCAAACGAAGCCAGAAAACAATTGTTAACAACATCGAATCCGATTGGATTGCACTTGAGCAGGGTGTCCCACAGGGCACTGTCCTTGGCCCTCTAATATTCAATCTCTACATTAATGATCTCAACAAACAAATTGATAAAACATGTAAAATAGTTGAAAATGCGGATGATACTTTACTATTCTGTGAAAATAACAATCCACAAAAAACTATTGAAGCACTCAAAGCCAATTGCAGTCTGTTGTCAAAATATTGAATGCAAAAAAAACAGAATGCATCGTTTTCAGCAAAAAACATTCAAGGAAAAAGGATGAAAAAATTACTATAACTCTAGATGACAAAATAATTGAGGAAAAAACCAATGTTAAACTTCTAGGAGTAGTTTTAGATCAGTTTCTCACATTCCAAGATGAAATGAAAAATATTCTCAGGAAAATGGCATGCGGAATAAAAACACTTCAATCAATCAAAAAGCCATTGCCAGTAAAACAAGACTCTTGATTATGCATGCACTGGTAATCAGTCATTTGCATTACCCAGCAATTCTTTTAAGTGGAATATCCGCTAACCTAATGATATCTCTGGAAAAACAGTTAAGCTGGGCAGTAAAAACTTGCTGCGATCGTGCAAAATACGACTCATCTTCAGACTTGAAGCTAAAACACAATATATTACCAGTAACAATGTTTCTGGACTATAAAATATAATGTCACTTTTGGAAAAAAAACATCAATTATTGCCAGCCTATTA